GTGTGTGTGTGTGAGTGTGTGTGTGTGAGTGTGTGTGTGTGAGTGTGTGTGTCTGTGTATCTGTGCGTGAGTGTGTGTGTGCGTGTGTGAGTGTGTATCTGTGTGTGTGTGTGTGTGGGACTCACAGCAGGTTGACGGCGACGCCCACCGCGGCTGTGATCAGCATCACGTCTCCGTCGATGTTGAAGTCCTGATGGACGGTTCTCTGCACAGCCTCGTTCAGCAGCACACCGGTCAGAATATAGATCAGCAGCACGCTGATTCCTGCGGACAGAACCTCTGAACACACACAGAGACACCGGTGAGACGTCACACACGCCACAGAGACGCAGCGAGACGAGACGAGACGCTTACCGAGCCGGTGGAGGCCGAAGGTGAATCTGTAGGAGGGAGGTTTGGCTGAGAGCCAGAGCGCCAGCAGCGACACCATGATCCCGATGAGGTCCGTCAGCATGTGCAGCGCATCCGTCATGATGGCCAGACTGTTGGCCACGTATCCACCTGAAAGACAGAGAGCTTTCAGCTGTAACTAGTTACAGCAATAATATTCCTTTGTGCAGTAACTAGTAGTGTAACTAATTACTAATAAGATTTCAGTAATAATATTACAGTTACCATCCATAAAACAGCTTTTACTTAGTTACTTCTGATGCCTTAACGCCTACTGACTTCAAGTCCAACAATCTAATAATTCCTAGATTTATTTTCATAATTTTCACGACTCATGACCACATGAAGTCACCAGAGCAGCAGGGAGGCTTGGAAAAGCTTACATTCAGCGGATGGAAATATTGCCATTACGTTGATTTTGTAAGAAGAAAAGATGATCTGAACACTGCTGTGCAAGTTGTGGCATTACTTTACTCTGGCGTTACACGGCTTACCCTCATCCCTTTGATCCCGATATAAATTGTATCACTATATTTAAAAATCTTTTTAGAAAACGAAACATTTTCTTACAAATGTATGTTATTTCTTTTGATAAAATAAATCTTGAAATATAATCGTATATGGGTAACAGAGATATTATAGCTACAATTAGCTTCAAGCTACACATGACAATTAATGAGGTTAATATAACACTTAAGTCACCACTGAGTGTTTGTAATCACTTCTGACTGCGATGAGGCAGAAATATATTGTTAGTAACATTTGAGAAGATTTTTTTGGGTAAGATACACAACTTCTGTGGGGCGTGAAGGAAAAGTAATATAACTAGTAGTGTAACTAATTACTTTTGCCAGAACGTAATAAGTAATAATATTACTTTTGAAAGGAGTAACTAGTAAAGAGTAATAAATTTAATTTTTTGAGTAACGAGCCCAACACTGGAGAGCACTAGCTGTTTCCATCCGAATTTATCAATTAAATTTATGCGCAAAATTGGAATAAATTGCGAATAAAGCACCGTTTCCATCCAGTGAGTTGAAGATAACAAAATTGTCGCTTCCTGATTAACTTGCGCTAAGAAAAATTTAATTTGCTGCAGTAAAAGTGTTTCCATCACGGTTTATTCGCATGCTTTCTATCCTACTTAGTTGAGCGCATACGTCTTTAATGTGTATTTTTAGATTTTATTCGCATCTTGGTGATTCCATCTAGCAATTTTTATGCGATATCCCAAAATGCGCATAAAAATAGGAGGATGGAAACATAGCTCTAGCTACGTTTCCATAACAGATTTGTGCAAAACTTTAGCGATATTTTATAACCGTCAATAAAAAAGTATTGCGAAATGACGGTATTTAACCGATAACCGATGTTATGTGACTAAAATGTAATTTTCTGTGGGATTCTGCCTGGCCACTTGTGAGGTGTTTCTTGGAGGTTATAGCACATTGAAGAATGATCACATGACTTTTTACGTACATCATGTGACCTGTAAATGCGAAAAACCGTTTCCATTGCGGTTTTGCGAAATATTCCTTTTTCGAATTGCCCGCAAAACCACCTCATGCGAGCGTAAAAACTTTTTTGCGATATATGGGTGTTTTTGCGAAATTGACGCGTTTAGGCGTATTTTCAATTCTAGCGTTAGCGTACAAAAACTAAGTATACTTGGGGCTTTAAAAGTACTTTTTCCTCTCGCTATAAGTCATGGTGACGGATTTCTGTGGGATTTTGACGGACTTTGGCTAGTGCTGCTGCAAAACCACCTCATGCGAGCGTAAAAACTTATTTTGCGATATATGGGTGTTTTTGCGAAATTGACGCGTTTCCATTAGTTGTATTTTCAATTTGCGAAATTTGCAGGGTTATGGAAACTAGTGACAACAGACCGACGGATGCGCCGGCGCTCACCGATCAGCTCGCCCACCATGAACAGGAAGTAGAGCAGCGCAGCGACGCCCAGCTTCCTCATCACCCTCCTGCGCTTGTCGAGCTCTCTGTTCCTGCGGCATCCGTCGCAGGGGTCCAGTGTGGCCCCAGGGCTCCCCAGACTGGACGAGGAGCCCAGCAGAGAGTCGTCGTCGTCCACCAGCAGTGTGCTGACCGCTGCGCCGTTGCGTGAAGCCACAGGAATCTCGTCCGCTTCTCCAGACACCACCACCTTCAGCTGGCTGAACCTGGGCGGCTCGTCGTCCTCCAGATCGTCGGAGAAGTCGAAGGCCGCCGCGTCGCTCAGGTGCCAGCTGTCCGGCTGCCTGCGGAACGCCGACCTCACGCGACCCATCAGCCCCGAGCCAGACATCTGCGAGGAGCTCTAGTGACCCTACAGCATCAACACTCCAGGTTACCTGAAACACAGCGCACACACCTGGCTGGGTCACGTGACACAGCTCCACGCGACTGATGGTCGCTAGTCGCGCTGATGCGGATCTGGACGCGTTGTCAGTCGCGCTAGCGGTCAGTCCGTTCCGTTCACACTGAAAACTCAACGAAAACACGCACTCCGGTTTATGAATAAACGAGCACCAACCTTCCGAAACTCTGCCGTTCGCTGGTTCCGTCCATCGCGGTGTGTGTTCAGGCGGATCTCGGAGTGTGTGTGTGTGAGTGTGAGGGAGAGAGAGAGTGTTTAACGGTAGCGTGTCCACTCTGCGCTCTTCCCAAATCTGCTGCACTTCCGCCTGACGCACCTCAGAACGTCACGGTCATGTACACAATTAACATATAACTATAGTTTATAAATATAAAAATTCATAATAATAAAAAAGATAATAACTATTATTTATATTATATTATCGGCCTTTTTGCATTTTATTCTTCATTTTTTTATTATGGATCTTGCGGTTGTGTTTGTGTTTATGTGTGCTGGAAAGCAAGGTTATTATAGTTCATTCAAAGTAAAATTCTAAAAAATGCGTTTTATTAATTGAAATGGTATAAATGTTAACCGAAAACGTAAAATATAAAAAAACTGAAACTTATTTCATTTCAGTTAGTTTTCAAAGCAAAATTACGCATTCTAATTTAGTTTAACTAGCTGTATTAAAAATGTCTCTCTCTCTCTCTCTCTATATATACATACATATATAGACATATTAATGTCAAAAACGCACAACAAAATTGCTAACACTAAAATTAACCTGAAAGCAGAAAATATAAAAATAAAATCTAATTTAAAATATTAACAAAAACTTGAATAGTATCTCAGTGATTCTAAAATAACACTGCTGGAAGCTTCGTTTAACAAGAAAAAAATCGTTGTGTGTGCAAGAAAACTTAACAGTAAAGTTTTATATTATATTGTATTATATTACATGATATAATGTTTATTATATTATATTAGGTGTGCCGTGTGTACAGTCGTTTGTCCAATCGGATGCGTCGCTCGGCGGCACGTGACCTGCGGCGGAAGCGCTCTCAGAGTGGCAGTGCGTCGCGCTCGTGCAGTATGCGGGGTCACATGAGCGCTGGTCACGTGATGTTTGTGTGCCGCTGCTCCTGGAAACAGTTTCACATCGATCCGGATCCGGATCAGGCGCTAGTAAAGCGAGGCTCGTGTGCACAGAACACTACAGAACCTGAAAGCGTTTGTGTGTCAGGAGGAAGAGGAGGATGGACAGACAGGAGGAGGAAGATGAGGAGGAGACAGGTGATCAGGAGCTGCACTTCTGGCTCTTTATGATATTATTTGACCCAATATCACTTTGATGAATGCCAGTTTACTAATAAAAACAGGCCTTTATGGTTTTGTTGACAGAAGCAAGCCTGTAATTACAAGACGAATAGTTTCTGAGCTTTACTAATCATTTACCCTATTTGATGTATTTTATATACAACTGTATCTTTATTCTGTCATTTTATATATATATGGGCTTATTATATTTGTGTGTGTGTGTGTTTGCAGTGTGCCGTGTGTTGGAGGACATGGTGTGTGTGGATGACCAGACGGTCGAGCGTCTAACAGACGGGTTTCTCTCTCATTATCTGCCGGAGCTGTGCTCCTCCAAGCGAGTGCTGCAGGAGCTGAAGTATGTCTGGCACATCACACTGCATCCCATAATGCAATGTGCTCGACTCCACCTTACATTTCCTGTGTGACAGGAAGTCTGTGATTTTTGACATTAATGTTTTGGGTCACATTGGGTTTGGTTCATGAAACACGAGCAGAGAGAAGTTCTGTATTCAGTAGAGGAGCCTTATTATCTGATCAGACTGAAAAAAAGAGTTTCGCAATAGAAACTGGGTTCAGAATACTGTAATGATCTCTTATTTTCTCTTCCAGACAAAACCAGGTGATTCTGCTGGAGACGCTGGATCAGGAAGTGGCGAAGGTCCGCGAGTGCAACGCCACGATTGATCTGAACGCGCTGGTGAGTTTCAGTCGTGTGTTTGATGGTAAGAGCCTCGTCAGACTCACAGCCCATGTGTTTCAGTTCACAGAGGCCAAAGTTTATCACAGCAAACTGGTGAACATCCGCAGAGAAATGATCGTTCTGCACGACAAGACCACCAGACTGAAGGTTTGAGCTTCACACCAGATCCACAGCTTCACGATCCACACTGATCATATATGATCCTGAGATAGTGAGTAATCCACACCTCCAGTCCATCAGTTAACATCTGGAGAAGACAAAAGCTGAAACACATCCAGCATTAAGACGTTTTTAACTCAAATACATTGAGTCCATAATCCATAATAACACTTCCTCCAGTGAAAAAGTGTTCTGGTGTGAATCAGGAGAGAAATCTGTACAGATCAAGCAGCGTTTAAACAGCTCTAAACACATATGTGGCTGGATTTTGATGTGAGAGACAACAGGAGATGCACTTTTTCACTGGAGGAAGTGTTATTATGGATTATGGACTCTATGTATTTTAGTTAAAAACGTCTTGATGTTGGATTTGTTTCAGCTTTTGTCTTCTCCAGATGTTAACTGATGGACTGGAGTGCTGTGGATTACTTGTGGATTATTGTGATGTTTTTATCAGCTGTTTGGACTCTCATTCTGACGGCACCCATTCACTGCAGAGATGGTGAGTGTATGTTGGTGTTTGTGTAGAAGCGAGCGCTGAAGCTGCAGCAGCACAAGCAGAAGGAGGATCTGGAGCGCGAGCAGCAGAGAGAGAGAGAGCTGGAGCGAGAGAGACGTCTCGTCGCCAAACCCGCCAAACGCAGCGACGCCGAGTCGCACTGAGCGCGCTCAGACACCACTGCCCTGAGACTCCACCCCTCATAGACACAGCTCAGCCCACTGAGACTCCACCCCCTCATAGACACAGCTCCGCCCACTGCCAGAGACTCCACCCCCTCATAGACATGGCTCCGCCCACGGCCACAATACTCCACCTCTCAGACACACGGCCCCGCCCACTGTCCCAAGACTCCGCCCCTCATACACACTGCCCCGCCCACTGCCCCAAGACTCCGCCCCTCAGAGACACTGCTCCGCCCCTGACGTCTGTGAAACACTCAGAGACACTCTGCTGATTTCAGGATTAAACCTGATGTGTGTTTCTCATGTTTGACTCTCAAAGCTCTGATGACTCTTCATCATCATCATCATCACATGCATTTCTGTCCAGATTAATAATAATAATAATAATAATACATTAGTAAAACTCTAATGAAGGTGTTTGTGTCCTCATATTCTCTACATGTGAAAGAAAATCCGCTAAAACTCTTAATGACTTCCACTAAACTTTATTACATTTTTGTGTATATTACTTTATATGAAGCTCTTTTAATATAAACAAATGTGATAAAACAGTAACACTTTACAGTAAATATTCATTTGTTAATATTAGTTCATATTAATTTGCATTAAACAATACTCCATCAGCATTTATTAATCTTAGTGAATGTTAGTTTCAACATACCATTAAAATGAAGTTATATTTGAAGACTTTATTTGCAAAAACATCACTTTTTTTTTATTATTTTTTTAACACTTTTTTTTTATTTATTATTATTAACTCGTTTTTTTTTTTCATTTTCAAAAATCATTTTTTATTATATTATCATGTTTTTATTGTGTTTGTTAGCTAGTATTTACCTAATCAAAATAACCCAACTGCAGTTTGATTGAGATTAATTAAAATGCACAATAAAAAAAACATGATTTTTAAAATTGTTAAAAACGGAGTTACCTGTTTTTGCAAATGAACTCTTCATTTATTAACTTTAGTTAATGCACTCTGAACTAACATTAACCTCAACAAATGCATTTTATTAGCTAACATTAACAAAAGATTAATAAATACTGTAAATAATGCATTGCTTTTTGTTAGTTCATGTTAATGAGTCCTCCTTATTGTAAAGTGTTAGTGATAAAACATTAATATTGAAAGCTTATGAACTTAATCAGCATCATAATATTTATTAATGGGATTTATTTTGAGTGCTTTTTTATATTAGGACAAAAACTACAACATCATACAAAAATAATAAAGGCAGAGTACATAATGCATTAATCCAAAACTTTACAGTCATGAAAAATATAGCAAGTATTTTATTATTTTGTACAAGAAAAATGTAATCATTCACAGGGCAATGCTTCAGTTTGAGCTCTGACCTCTAGGGGGCAGCAGAGCATCATGGGATTGACCCTGTGTGTCACGGCTGTGTCATGTGGCAGGTACCGCGGTATAACTGTTTTGTTAAGCGCAGGCGTGTGTTCATGCACAGACACAGACAGACAGGCCTGGTTTCCGGGCGTCTGGATTTAGCAGTTTGGGCCTGAAGGAGAAAAACAAGCCCACAGACGCTGAGCACATGTGGAGGAGGTCTGTCTGCTCTCATAGCTGCGGTCAGCAGGTCAGGCTGGCGAGACGCTGTGGTTCTGCTCTGTAATTGCTCTGGAACTGGGTGGAACAACAGGAGTTTGTGTATTACACCAAACCCAAATATAGACTGCTCAACCAAAGAAACATCTGCTGCCTGAAAGAAAGCCTTCAAACACAGCAAAGCGCTACTGAACTACAACCAAAACATCACGGTCACTACAGCAACGACCTCTGACCTCTACAAGACCAGGCTGACCTATGACCTCGTTTCTCTCTACTGTCCTCGTGCATTACATTCGTGCATATTTGCGTTGCACTGATGCCGCCTCGTATGCCGCGATTGGTTGATTGTGTGCGATGCCTACACGCTATTGGTCAAACTACTTTCAGTCATTACATCAGGAAAACAAAGCCAAAACCTGGACATTTAGGCGTTTTAGTCATGGCTGTGTGCATTTGGCAGATGTTTCTAAGCAATGCAACTTGCATTGAAGGCAAACATCTGATCAGCTCATGCATAACCTGGGAATCGAACCCATGACCTAGTGTTTGAACGCTATAATGTTACAGAATAAAGCAATAAGCCTCGAGAAGCCGTGGTTTACAGTGAATTTATAACAGCTAAGGGGCGTTGTTAGGTACGACGCGAACTTCACGGGGATTATTGCTTTTATAAAACGGTTATTCCATACACGTAGTAAGGTTCACAAAATAAAACGGAGCAAATAAAGTGTAATGATATTAATAAAAACAGTATTCTTCCACCAAACAATGTAGCTCCTCAGAAACAGTTGTGGTTGCTACAAAGTGGTTGCCGAGCAACAGACAAACGTAAACAAAGGAGTATGTTACTTTGTAGAGTCATTTACAACAGCTTCGAACGCGGCTCA